GCAGCAAGCTGGAGTATGTCAATCGACGAATATTTCCAGGAAAAATAGTATCACGAGTTGTATTCGTATGACTATTGAATGAGACAATATATATAGGAAATAGGAAACATAACTATATTCCAACTCGAACATAAGAACATAATGATAGTAATGCTAATGAAATACAGAATTCATTTTTTTAGAAATTAACTACCTACTTAAATTATAGTATTCAATTTTGATGAACAGTATTTTGTTCATTATCTTGGAGATGCGGTTGCTCTCAAAAGAGTGTATACATTTGCTATCCAATTCGAACAAAATAAATTGAATTTATGTGACATGAAATAATTTAAAAAAAAGATTATTGTCGCCGACGGGCTTGAACCACCGACCTTCGATCACCGCGCAACAACCCTATTTGTTGAGCCACATCACCTGGTAAATTTATTTGTTACAATAACTTCAGTGACTGAAGAAGATTACTTCAAAAAGGAATTTGAATTCTAGTATTGTTGTGTCAGACCGTCAACAAATATGCAAACTTATTAAATTACACATGAAACGTCCAGCCAGAATGAAATTGTCTCGCCTTTCGTACAAAATGTCTCACTAACGCGAATTATAAGTAAATAAAATGAAGTAGGTACTTAGGTTATTGTCTCTTGTGTCAGATTTGAATCCAAAGCAATCTTGACCAGACACGATGTCAAAATTTTATCGCTGATAAACGAGGTTTGTTGGTCACGTGTGGGTCAATTCGGCTTCTGTATTGGTAGAGCAAGTCCGATAAAATTTAATAAACAAAAAATATCGCTAGAATACAGAAGAAACCATGAAAATGGTCGATTCTGATTGGTTCTCGAGATCAAGAGTGGAATAGTCATATTAAAATGTTGTTACATGAATTATTTTCATTTTTATAACTATATGGTTCTGCGAAAAGTGTATCACTATATAAATTGAAGTGGGTGTTTTAGCCCTATTTCTATTTTCCATCTACGACAATGATTGATTTGACAAAAAATCTAACCTTTAAAATCGTATCTGACAATCAGGCGTTACTAGGGAAATTGTAAAGACAAAGAGCAGAATAATATATGTCTTATTCTTTTATTCACTCAAACCATTGTAATATAGAAAATGGAAAAGGACAAAAGTTCAGCTGTGTCCGAACTCTTATCTAACTGAAACCATCCAGTGACTCTAATCTGTACCGGGCACGAATAATTCACGCTATTTTTTCATTGGTACACTTTGTGATCATAATAAATATGGAAATAACACAGTTGTCAGTAATGTCAGTGATATTTCATTTGACGTTACGTGCCTGTCAGATCGATGATTGAAAAGTTAACCATTCAGACACGTTGTCGTGTGTTGCCATTCTTCAAATAAACAAAATAGGGTAACCATTAAAAATAGTTTATTTATTATACAAGGGAAAAAATGTAATAGATTTTAGCTCCAGGTTGTGTTGCTTCCCGACATGTAGCGGAGGGAGACAAAAAAAAAACCATGAGCTGAAATCTAATATTTTTCCCGTGTATAAAACACTATTTTGGATTCGACATTTGGCCACGGTAGGAGAAACATGGCGTCTCCAGGCCAAAAGTCAGGTTAATGTGTGTGAAGTCCATAATTTTCTAATGGGCGTGTACACCTTAGTAGAACTTTCAACTCAAACCATGTTTATAATGACCCTTTTATACATAAATAATGATTGACGACATAATTCGATCGAAAAATTAACTGGAATGTTTTATTTTTGGACATAAATAATAGTACCTTCTGAAAACGGACCCTCTTATGACGTAGAAACCTCATCTCGCCATAGTTAAAAGAAAATACCAATCGCCCGACGGAGACTGAGGCAACTGATATAGTAATTCTTTCAACTGTGATCTCGCGTTAATTCACTCTGTCAGAAATCATGTATCATTTATCTCTGTCTGGAATAGTCTTGTTTCAGTATTAGGGTTTTGACGTCACATCATCGCCTCGTTTTCAGAGGTCCAAAAAATCGGGGATTTCAATAATTTTTCATAAAACGTAGGGAGCTCACAGCAAGAAACGGTTTGCGGTGGTGAGCTAGTTTGGGTGAGTTCTATCGAATTATGAAATAAAATTTTTTTGTGATATATTATGCCCATTACCTGATCTGGATTGAAATCCAATATTTAAGTGTGTGAGAAATATCAGGCATATTATCTCTACGCCGGTATAGAGGCCGGATGATGAATGACGGATTCATCGGATAAGGGGGCCATACTTGAAGTCAAACGTGCTCCATTATTTCTACGCCGGTAAACAGGCCGGATCAGCAACGGATTTGCTGGATACGAGGAGTACATACGATCGAATCTTATGAACACTGATGACTCGGCTTCAGGCCATTGTGATAGACAATTGGTGTCTTATATGGCGAGTCGAGTGAAAATATTATTACATAACCAAGTATTTATTCTTGAAAAAATTAATTACCTGACCTGGAGAAATTGTTTCCGAAAGGAGACAAAAATCCAATAAACCCAAAGAGAGGTAGAAGAAAACACTATTTTTGTCTGTGACAGGAAAAAGAACGAATCGATATTGAGAAGATATTACATTATATTAAAATCAGAAAATTATCGACGTGAAATTTGAAGTTTTTAACAGGAATGACACCTGCGTTGCAGGGATTTTTATCATTCTCTTGAAGTAATCGAATATGTGTCAGTCTAATTCTGTGATTTGATTTCAAAAAATTGCGAATAGAATGGTTTATTATACAAGGGAAAAAAGTAGTAGATTTTAGCTCCGCTACGCGTCGGGAGACAAAAAACCGTGAGCTGAAATCTAATATTTTTCCCGTGTATATAACACTATTTTTTTCTGTGACAGAAGAAAGTACGAATTCAATATTGAGATGATATTACATTATTTTGAGATCTCAAAATTATCGACGTGAAATTTTAAGTTTTTAACAGTAGGTAATTCTGTGATTTGATTTCAAAAAATTGCGAATTTAATGGTTATTTAGTAATGTACGTAACCGCGAAGTCGAATGGAAGAAGGACTTGCAGTTCTTTCTCGGTGATATTGGCTTATTTTTCGGAACTATAGCACAACAAAAGCCGGGGAAAAGTCCTCAGCTTTTTCCCGTGGGAAAAAAGTAATTAAATAAAATTTCGATTCACTGAATATTTCCACGAGGAGAGAAAACCAAAAAATCTAGAGAAATTATTACTTATTTTGATTGATTCGATTCACAATATTTATTATACCCACCTAAATACATTTCATTATATTCCTCTTTTCACAACAGACTCCACAACAGATTAATAAGTAATTATGCAAATAATAATAGGAACCTATTCCTATATAACTAACTTTCTCTTTTCTACTAATAAGCTGAATAACCATTGAGTAAGAGTACAATCAAATCATGATCATTATATAATATTTTAAAATTTCAACTTGAAGAGGAATAGATTCATCCAAGTCTAGACGTATTAGTAACTACCTATGGCATGAAAATAAAACAAAAAAAAAGGAATCCAGGTTAGATATGAGAACAGCTCGGGTAAAGGGTTACCAAGTGGAACGTTATGAAGAACCATCTCCCTAAAACCCCTTACTTTTTTCACAATAGAAAAAAAAATTTAAAACAGTATTGCGGAGGAATTTGTTTACATCTCGAATCGAAAGATCCGTTTTCACCTCGGTTTTCACTATCTGAGCAGGCCCGGATTACCCACAAGGTCAACCTAGGCCATCCGACGTCAACTGTAGTTTGTTTTTTTTCGTTAATCGCTAATATCTGTTTCCTCTGATTACTTAAATTGCTAATATATGCTTATCATACATTTTGGAATTTTAATCATTGTTACCTGCTTGATTGATACCTTTTTTTTCTTGGAAAATAGTTAAAGATTTATTCAAGAGGACTTGAAATAAAAATGTGTTCATAGCTCAAACAACCCCAAAAAAGCTCTAAAAAGAGGTTTGTAGTTATATGCCAAAAAATTCCACACTTCCCACACTTACTGGAACGGGAATAATTTAGAGAATATATACAAGGAGCAACAAAAAGTGTATGAACTTCAAATGGAACACCCTATATATTTCCTCGCCATTATACCACTCAGTAATATTTCTTAATTTATAGCTCAATTTATAGGCATCCAATACTAACAAATTTTGATCGGTATTTGAACCATTTTCAAGGGAAGGTCATGACAATCTCTTGGAGCGCACGAAAGGATATTCCTATGATTTTAGAAGAACATCGCGCGTACCTAGGGAGGATAGGAAGAGGATAAATATAGGTATTAGATTTTTTTTGAACCTATGACATTTGTTCTCATCATTGGCGGTGATCACTAGAATCGTTCAATCAACAAAACTCTGTTAGTTTTGGAAGCCCATATTTTGAGAAATACAGAAGATAAAAATCAAAATGAATATATTGAATGGGGTATTTTGGGAAAGCTTTCCAAAAGGTCTTTCCAATGGGAAGGAAATATAGGGTGTTCAATTTGAAATTCATGAACTTTCTGCTGCTACCTGTAAATTTTTTCAGATACTGAACATATTATATTTGTAGATTCTTAGAGAAAAAAATATCCTGTGAGTCGGTTTTCATTTCAATTATTTATAGGGGGTGGTATTTTATAACGTGTCACCAGGTACCTATCCTACTTTGCCTATTAAATCTTTTAATACACCATCTACCTACCAACGTTTACCACTTGATTATTTATCGATTATTATTATCATTCGGTGTTTATTGTTTCCACCTGTAGGTAGTTTTTCATTTGTCCCATTTTTGAAGAACTATTGAAGAATACTACAAAAACCCCTCCAAAGCCTAGTGCAGATACCTAGTCTGGAGTGGTCTCAGAAGTCCCCAGACATTTTCAAAACAGATGGTGAGGTACATTTTTCAACTCGATTATAATGAATCGTGAAGAATGAAATGTACTGTAGTAAACAATCATGCAACGTAGTAACATTGTATAAATAATATATTTACTTACCACACATACTGATTTAGATAAACACAAAACAGAACTATGTTAACTCCACAACAAACAAAATCTAAATTAAATTGAATTAAAATTTTCCCTTCCCAACCTTTTATAACCTAACCACTCTAATGAAACGTCAGAATGTCATTATTTGACATTATTTTTTTATCATCACGTATAGTGTCAACTGTCAACTGAATGGGACTATGGAGCTAGGTATATTGGCCACTAGGAACTACAAAGAATGAAATTAAGAAGAATTATAATCAACTATTTTTCTACAGAAAACATCATTCAGAAAACGTACCCAATCCTTCATACCTGACGCAAATAAAAACCATCCTGTGTTTTTGTTGTACCTAAATCCCTCCTAATAGTCCTAATATTTGAAGGGCATGGGCTAGAAGAAGCTAGAAGAATGACGGAAATTAGTTATGTCAATGATGGAAATATCTACTCATTTTCATCATTTGCTAGACCCCAGATGCAGTGCGCTTTTCAAAAAAAGAAGAATTTAGAAAAACAACATGGCTGAAAGTTCTTACTAAACTAGAGGCCAATAAATCAGAAGAAGAAGAAAAAATAAGAATAAGAAGAAGATTTAATATGACTGTTCTGTGTGTGGTGTGTGGTTTGACGGGTTTGACAATTGTGACTTGTGACTGGTGTGCTGTGTGGTGTGTTTATGTTTACTGACAATGTTTACTTTTGAAAAAAACTTGTTTTCTTAAAACCATCAAGTAATAATATTTTAATAATCAGCTATTACATTGCTTGGTTCGTTACATTTGTTACTTGTAGATGTATGTAGATCTGTGGTTAACAAGAGTGAAAAATCTTCAAATATTCAAAAACTTGTAGGTGTTCTACAAGGTTAGTGTGAAGTTATCCACGAAAATGCCAGCCACGTTTTCTGACGTGTAGGAAATCTAATGCGATATAGAATTGAAATGTGTGGCTGGCATTTATCGCTTCCCCACGGTCTTGGGAAGTGCTTTATATTCATTTTTATTACATATTGATTCATTATTTATACTCCAAGAACTGAAGAAAATATATTTCGGAAATTGAACCACCATAGAGGGGGCACGCAGTGAATCAAATTTATATAATTTAATACATTTTCGCCTGTACCTCATCTGAAACTTCCTGTTCGTTGATGATTCTGCCACACAAATATCTAGTTATACTCCAAGAACTCGAAAAAAAATATTTCGGAATTTGTACCACCGTAGGGGGGACAGGGTGAATTAAATGTATTAAAATAAATACATTTTCGCCTGTATCTCATCTGAAACTTCCTGTTCGTTGATGATTCTGCCACACAAATATCTAGTTATACTCCAAGATTTCGAAAAAAAATATTTCGGAATTTGTACCACCGTAGGGGGGACAGGGTGAATTAAATTTATTAAATTAAATACATTTTCGCCTGTATCTCATCTGAAACTTCCTGTTCGTTGATGATTCTGCCACACAAATATCTAGTTATACTTTAAGAACTCGAAAAAAAATATTTCGGAATTTGTACCACCGTAGGGGGGACAGGGTGAATTAAATGTATTAAAATAAATACATTTTCGTCTGTATCTCATCTGAAACTTCCTGTTCGTTGATGATTCTGCCACACAAATATCTAGTTATACTCCAAGAACTCGAAAAAAAATATTTCGGAATTTGTACCACCGTAGGGGGGACAGGGTGAATTAAATGTATTAAAATAAATACATTTTCGTCTGTATCTCATCTGAAACTTCCTGTTCGTTGATGATTCTGCCACACAAATATCTAGTTATACTCCAAGAACTCGAAAAAAAATATTTCGGAATTTGTACCACCGTAGGGGGGACAGGGTGAATTAAATTTATTAAATTAAATACATTTTCGCCTGTATCTCATCTGAAACTTCCTGTTCGTTGATGATTCTGCCACACAAATATCTAGTTATACTTTAAGAACTCGAAAAAAAATATTTCGGAATTTGTACCACCGTAGGGGGGACAGGGTGAATTAAATGTATTAAAATAAATACATTTTCGTCTGTATCTCATCTGAAACTTCCTGTTCGTTGATGATTCTGCCACACAAATATCTAGTTATACTCCAAGAACTCGAAAAAAAATATTTCGGAATTTGTACCACCGTAGGGGGGACAGGGTGAATTAAATGTATTAAAATAAATACATTTTCGTCTGTATCTCATCTGAAACTTCCTGTTCGTTGATGATTCTGCCACACAAATATCTAGTTATACTCCAAGAACTCGAAAAAAAATATTTCGGAATTTGTACCACCGTAGGGGGGACAGGGTGAATTAAATTTATTAAATTAAATATATTTTCGCCTGTATCTCATCTGAAACTTCCTGTTCGTTGATGATTCTGCCACACAAATAACTAGTTATACTTTAAGAACTCGAAAAAAAATATTTCGGAATTTGTACCACCGTAGGGGGGACAGGGTGAATTAAATTTATTAAATTAAATACATTTTCGTCTGTATCTCATCTGAAACTTCCTGTTCGTTGATGATTCTGCCACACAAATATCTAGTTATACTTTAAGAACTCGAAAAAAAATATTTCGGAATTTGTACCACCGTAGGGGGGATAGGGTGAATTAAATGTAATAAATTAAATATATTTTCGCCTGTATCTCATCTGAAACTTCCTGTTCGTTGATGATTCTGCCACACAAATATCTAGTTATACTCCAAGAACTCGAAAAAAAATATTTCGGAATTTGTACCACCGTAGGGGGGACAGGGTGAATTAAATGTATTAAAATAAATACATTTTCGTCTGTATCTCATCTGAAACTTCCTGTTCGTTGATGATTCTGCCACACAAATATCTAGTTATACTTTAAGAACTCGAAAAAAAATATTTCGAAATTTGTACCACCGTAGGGGGGACAGGGTGAATTAAATGTATTAAAATAAATACATTTTCGTCTGTATCTCATCTGAAACTTCCTGTTCGTTGATGATTCTGCCACACAAATATCTAGTTATACTCCAAGAACTCGAAAAAAAATATTTCGGAATTTGTACCACCGTAGGGGGGACAGGGTGAATTAAATGTATTAAAATAAATACATTTTCGTCTGTATCTCATCTGAAACTTCCTGTTCGTTGATGATTCTGCCACACAAATATCTAGTTATACTTCAAGAACTCGAAAAAAAATATTTCGGAATTCGTATCACCGTAGGGGGGACAGGGTGAATTAAATTTATTAAATTAAATACATTTTCGTCTGTATCTCATCTGAAACTTCCTGTTCGTTGATGATTCTGCCACACAAATATCAAGTTATACTCCAAGAACTCGAAAAAAAATATTTCGGAATTTGTACCACCGTAGGGGGGACAGGGTGAATTAAATGTATTAAAATAAATACATTTTCGTCTGTATCTCATCTGAAACTTCCTGTTCGTTGATGATTCTGCCACACAAATATCTAGTTATACTTCAAGAACTCGAAAAAAAATATTTCGGAATTCGTATCACCGTAGGGGGGACAGGGTGAATTAAATTTATTAAATTAAATACATTTTCGTCTGTATCTCATCTGAAACTTCCTGTTCGTTGATGATTCTGCCACACAAATATCAAGTTATACTCCAAGAACTCGAAAAAAAATATTTCGGAATTTGTACCACCGTAGGGGGGACAGGGTGAATTAAATGTATTAAATTAAATACATTTTCGCCTGTATCTCATCTGAAACTTCCTGTTCGTTGATGATTCAGCCACACAAATATCTAGTTATACTTTAAGAACTCGAAAAAGAATATTTCGGAATTTGTACCACCGTAGGGGGGACAGGGTGAATTAAATGTATTAAAATAAATACATTTTCGTCTGTATCTCATCTGAAACTTCCTGTTCGTTGATGATTCTGCCACACAAATATCTAGTTATACTCCAAGAACTCGAAAAAAAATATTTCGGAATTTGTACCACCGTAGGGGGGACAGGGTGAATTAAATGTATTAAAATAAATACATTTTCGTCTGTATCTCATCTGAAACTTCCTGTTCGTTGATGATTCTGCCACACAAATATCTAGTTATACTTCAAGAACTCGAAAAAAAATATTTCGGAATTCGTATCACCGTAGGGGGGACAGGGTGAATTAAATTTATTAAATTAAATACATTTTCGTCTGTATCTCATCTGAAACTTCCTGTTCGTTGATGATTCTGCCACACAAATATCAAGTTATACTCCAAGAACTCGAAAAAAAATATTTCGGAATTTGTACCACCGTAGGGGGGACAGGGTGAATTAAATGTATTAAATTAAATACATTTTCGCCTGTATCTCATCTGAAACTTCCTGTTCGTTGATGATTCAGCCACACAAATATCTAGTTATACTTTAAGAACTCGAAAAAAAAATATTTCGGAATTTGTACCACCGTAGGGGGGACAGGGTGAATTAAATGTATTAAATTAAATAAAAAATTTGTATTCTTGAACCCATTCGGAAGTTCTGTGTCTGAATCAAAAAGCTATTTAAGGAAGTTTATGAGATTCGCGGGGAATTATAATACAAATAATCAAAATGGCATCGATACGGAAAACTGGACCATTGAGGTGATGGATCATGATAGGCAGAACGATTCATTCAACTGTGGAGTTTACATAATTTATTTTTTCGATAAAATTGTATGCGGCGCGCCCTTAAATAATAAAATAAACATAATGAATTACAGACGTAGCCTCAAAAGGAAAATCATTCAATCATCTGATGATATGAATGATAAATGCCTATTTTGCGGAAATACCACTAATAATGATACTGTTGATAGGTACCGTTTTATTAAGTGTAATAGCTGCCTGAGAAATGTTCACGTGAAGTGTGTAATTCCTAATGAAAAAGATAAATTGAATTCATTCGAATTTAAAAACGGCATTTGTGAACTATGCGACAAAAATTGAACGCTTCCTGTATCAAATGTATGTATATAGATGTATATGTATGATTGTGTGTGATATAACATTTTTTCATAATGATGGAAAAATGACTGGTGATCTACATCAATCATCGCTATTATTAGTGAATCTGATCTAGTCA